GATTTGTTGTATTCCTCTATAGCTGGCGGTATTCTGCATTGCGCTGTATAATGTGCTTTTGCTGGGTTTTGTAGTCCTCTATAGCCAGTGCCATTCTGCATTCATTGCTGTATAATTTTACACTTTCCATTTCACTATATTGCACACCACACTATCTTTTTTCTTTTTTACTTCCACCGCTCCAAGCTTGCTCCTGTGATGGACTACAATCTCAATACAAACTAGTAGTTCTATCACTGGAGCCATTTTTTAAACTTTATTTTATTGTTTATCCGATTAACCGATTAATCGAACTTAATAATCGGCTAACTAATCGATTTTGAAAATAATCGTTAGCTGCAGCTCTACCAGGAAGCCTTCTTTCCCTGCCCTTTCTTTTGTCGGCACATGACAGACAGTGATAGGTGGCAATTACAGACCAAACCAACATGTTTCAAAAATTATAACTAGTTCCTCTGCTTTGGAAGCTAATGGCCAGCTTTGGAGCCAGTGCGGTAATGTTTAGCCAGTGAGGCTGAAGGTCCCCACACACCTTACAATAATAGTACGATAATCGCGGGAAATCCCACGATCGTACGATTATCGTAAGGTGTGTGGAACCCGTGAGCGACCTCTACTACTGTAAGGTCGCACGACTTTTAACTTACGGACATGTTCGAAAACCCGACGAGCATCGTACGATGTTCGGCAGGTTTGTGGCATGTTTGTACGATAAAAGCCTACGGGCCGGTGTGCGCAAGCGCACACTGCCCGTTCGGCATTGCGGTCACCGGAAGCCCGCCCCTCAGGGGGTGTGGCTTGCGATCATCGCAAGTACGATCTGCCTATGCAAGATAGGCAGATCATACGTTTTTTTTAAGTACTTTACAACCCTCGTAAGACAAAAGTCTTGCGAGGGTTGTAAAGTGTATGGGCACCTTAACAATGACCAACAATGGGCCATTAGCGAGGCTAGAAGATGGGAGGGGTGGGGAGAGGCTCTCAAACCATCAACCCAGGTAATTTCAGCACAGCAGGCACCCAGGGCACTTGCAATGAAAACCAAATCTGATGTATTTACTATGAGCTTACTGCACTAAAACACGCAAGCCTCCCATTTTTCCGGTTCTGTAACCTAAATTGAATGAAGTTAGTAACGTAAAGCATAGTGGCACTCTTTTATGGATCACATTAGTGGTTAATTGTCTGTTTTTTACATTTCCTGGCAGAGTTCACTAAAGCTGGCCATACACTAGTAGATTTTTGTGCAAGTAGATTTTCGTTCATATAAAAAAAATCTTGTTAGAACATTCGTTCATGGAATCAGAGACTTGACGAATGTCTTTTGAAATTTCGTTTGGATTTAGCATTCAATTTTGGAAATATATGGAGTTTCCCAAACAAAAACTACATTCACTATTTTGCTTGCCTAATGTAAATGTTCCTTCGATTTTTTTTTTCCATCACTATGGTCGAAAACAACCATCGATTTGACGGCACTGACTATTTTTTTAAACAAAATTCTACTGGTATATGGCCAGTTAAAGGAAGTGCAAAAACTGGTTTGCACAGCAGTAATCTATTGCAGCATACAGATGATTGGTTTCTATTGGATACTCACACTGTTAATATATTAGACGTATCCATTCTAAAACCTGTGATTGTAAACTGTAAATCCTGTCATGCATACATCACACACACGCAGAACAAAAAACACTTTTTTTTGGCATTGTTGTAGCACAATTCCTATCCAGGAGCGCAGATTTATTTTTTCTATACAATTCCTATTACTGTGCAAATTTGACAATATTCTTTGATTTGCAAGCCATTGGGAATGACATGCCATTAACCTGTATTTGCACTGGTGTATCTGTACACCCAACATTGTGACATGACTTGGCCATACAATTTCCTGTATTTTCCAGTCCTCTTGGAGCACAGCAAACTGGATTTTCCAGACTGGATATAGCAAGAAAGACATACATCGTAACAATGGCTTGTTTATCTCTAGATTGAATGAGGAGCAGTAGCAGTGTGACTTGACTGAGGTTACAAATTAAGATTTGATCAAATTATATTTTCTATAGACTCCAGTCACTCTTAAATAACAGCTAAGACTGGATCTATGGCTAACACCAGAACACGGGATAGTGGAACATTGCAGATTAAATAGCATCTAGAGCAGCGGTCGCCGACCTCATGGACCACTAAATTCATAATTGTAAATCCCGCGGATATATATACACACACACACACATATATACATTTTATATATATATATATATATACACACATACATACACACACACACACAGACACACACGAGGAAACAAAAAATATGAGAATATATCTATACATAGGTGCGGGTGTGCCTGCAGGAGTGGCAGTGCTGGTGGAGGAAGGGAGCGGTGCCGCCCGCCCCGGCCCAGTAATAATATTGTTTCCCCCCCCTCCCTATCGAATCTGCCATTGGCCCTGCCGGCAGCGCCCGGGGCAGATGCCCCCCCTAGCTTCTGCACTGCCCCTAACCACCCCTGTGCCTCCCCTTCCCCCACACTAAGCCACTATTACCTGGTTACCTGGCTTCGCCCCACTTTTTCTATGTACCGCAGCCTGCTCAGTCCGGGTACTGACAAGATGCCCCGCCTCCTGCAGAGCCCGCACTGTACTGAGAGCAGGGCATTCCTTGTGACAGCCACTGCTTGAGTCAGTGAGATGCAGCCCCGAAGCCTCCGTGCAGCTTCAATGACGGCCCAGCCTGCAGGGCATCAGAGGGGCCCGGGTACCACCAACATTTTCTCGCGTACCACCAGTTGGTGACCGCTGATCTAAAGTGCATTCACACTGTACACATGTAAACGTTAGCACAAATGTTCACAAGAGTACTGCATAAGACATGGACCATATGCAAGACCTCAAACACAGATTTATCTATTTTGACGTAACAGATCTGAAGGCAGCACAAGTTTACTGACCTTTATTAGATTCGTCAAAAAAAGCTTTTCTGATCAAAATACAGAGTTATGTACAACTGTGTGCATGCTTAAAATTATATTTACATGTTAAAGTGTATATATTTTTATAATTGGATTTGCAGCTTTGCATATACTTTTCAACACTTGCTATTTTTCTCAGTGATGACATATCACAGGACAGGAAAATACAAATTTTGCACTGCCTGGCCAAAAAAAGTCACACACTAATATTTGGTTGGACCGCCTTTTTTTTGCTTAGCTTTGATTACACATTCACCGTGGCATCCTTTTGATAAGCTTATGCAATGTCACAAAATGTATTTCTGTCCAGAGTTGAATTAATTTTTCACCAAGATCTTGTAGTGAGAGCCAGATCACTGCGTAGAGTCTTCTCCAGCACATCCCAAAGATTCACAATGGGGTCAAGGGCTGGACTCTGTGGTGGCCAATCCATGTGTGAAAATGATGTCTCATGCTTCCTGAATCATTCTTTCACAATATGAGCCTGGTGAATCCTGGCATTGTCATCTTGGAATATGCCCATACCATCAGGGAAGAAAAAAATCCATTGATGGAAAAACCTGGTCATTCAGTATATTCAGGTAGGCAGCTGACCTCATTATATTAATCACTAAGGCCTGGTTCACACATAGGCGTATTGCATATGCGCGTCTGTCGCGCGTTTTTTTAACCGCGATTCGCGGTAAAAAAATCGTGCAACAAACGCGCATTTCCGAGGGCTACTTGGCTGTATCCCAATGGAAACGCGCAACAAAAACGGCCCAAAGTAGTACATGTATCTTTTCAGGCGTGGGCCGTTTTGTAGCGCGTTAGGGACGGGCTGAAATACGCCAAGGTGTGAACCAGACCCATTGAATACAATGGGATTTAGATGTTTGAGCGTTTGTCGACCGTAGAACGCGCTACAAAAAGTTCAGGTGTGAACGAGGCCTTAAGTAATTATCCAATGGAAGGCTCTTACCTATTTTCTTAGCTAAATCCAGCAGGTGACTTTTTTTGCCAGGCAGTGTGTGTGTATATGTATATAACTTAACACTGGATCTTTGGCTAACACCACAACACGGGTTAGAGGAACATAAGAGCTTGAAAAGCAAAACAACATGAAAGCACCAACCTGAATGAATGAGATGGGGCTTGGTCACACATAATTATGTTAGTTGTAGGATCAGTTAATTGTGTCAGACATTGGGCATCATGTAGTAAAATAAAAGACTGATGACGATGTGTGAAAAAATCCTATTGCACACAACAAATAACCGTGACCAAAATTAATCTTGAAAGGAGTATTAAAAGGCAGGCATTCTCCGCCGCGACTGGGAAGATATTCAAGGTTTCCTGAACTCGCTCGCTGTGGGGGAGGGTACTGAGGGCAGAGGAGGCAAAGACTCTTTTTGCTGTCAAACTGTGACTGCAAGGGTAGGGGCGCGGTCAGACACACACAGCTAGGTTCAGGCACGGCTGGGAGCGTGCACTCACGGGTGTCTCCACAGCAGCCGGCAAGCTGATGGAGGCACCCATACAGGAGGGCATGGGGCTAGCGGATTGGATACCACTAGAGAACAAGAAAATACAAAAATTTTAAGAATAAACATTTTTTTTTAAAGTCTGGCAACAATAAAAAAAAATTAAGGTTTAACCCTTTCGCTGCCAAGGACGTACGGCATACGGAGCTACAAAAGTGCTTCCAGCTGGCCAGCTCAGTATGCCGTACGGACCTGGCAACACGGATCCCTGATTTTGGTGTGTTTTAACAATTAAATTGTGTATTTTTATCGGTTTAATATTAATTTGAGAAACATTTGCGCAATTATCGCAGGGCCTACAAATTTAGTATCACCATCTTTTTATTCTACCGGGCCTGCGCTTTCAGAAAATATATGGTTTGGGGGGTCTTTTACAAACGCTAGCAACGCAGCAGTTGAAAATCAAATCAATAGGAAAAAATTGCAGAAAATTCAAAAATGGGTTGGCCAGCTGATTTGAAAAATGTTCCGGAGGGCTTGGCAGCGAAAGGGTTAATGTCACTTTAACAGTAAAGGGTGAATGTTAAAAATGTTAAAATTCACAAATCTGGCCCAGTAATGGAAAACTATGCCTGTATTTGATTTAAAATCTAGGTCAAAAACAAATCCCAGAACTGCTTGGCTTGACTTGGCTGCATAGAACAGGCCAGAAATATATCAAGAAAATATTTCTATATTCATATAATTATTTAGGTAGAACTCCAGCCAATACTTTTCCTTCACTTCCTTTCTCAGTGACCAGTCTTCAGGACAGGTAGACCTGAATCTGCTCTGCAAAAACCTGACAGAGTTTCCAACACTTTTCTACAAAATACAAAAGGGGTGTTTACTGCCGCCTGCATGCTCAGGACAAGAGGTGAGAGGAAAGCAGAAACATTTGACAAAGTTTCTAGCGAACACCAAAAACTAAACTATAACCAGCTGCTTCTGGACATTACCATATCAGGTCGATCCCACAGTGTGGACTTGTACCAGATTTGCAGCAATTCCTACTGGAACCAAAGTCACTGCATATTTATCTAATGGTCTACCTGCCTGTTCAACACTAGAAATCCCATTCATGTCTATGGCCCCTGTTCACACCTGAGAGTTTTGACGCAAGCTTTAAAACGCCGAAGGCTAAAAAAAATACATGAGCTTCTTCCGGGCAGATTACAGCACGTTTGGCCGCATAGACTTCAATGGAAGCACATTAAAACGCTTTACACAAGCCTTTTTGCACATTTCTGTGTGCATTTTGTGTGCGTACCTTTCCCTCATTCACAGCAATGCATTTTGATCTGCTCCAAAAACGGCATCCTTCGTCTTTGTGCGTCTAACGCGCGCACAAACCATGTGAAAGACTCCGCGGAAACGCTGACGCCAAGGTGTGTATGGATATTCATTTCCGTTTTCTTGCTACACTTTATTGTTTGCCTTTCAAAACAATGCTGAAGGTCGTTACATTGTATGATATCCTGGTAGCCTCACCCCTACTTCTATTTGTCAATCTCTAACCAGTTTGCCCGGATGTTGGAACCTTCTTCTTAAATAACCAGTTCATGTACAGGGGGGCAGAAATTATTAGGTGAAGGTTTCTTGCTTTTGTTAATTGTGCTCAAAAGGATATTGTTTACAGCCCAACTCTTTTTTTGATTTTAAACAAGAACAGTGACTACAAGAGGCGCGTATTTTTACTTCATGCTTTTTCTGTACAGTAATCCAGTGTGAACCTTTGCCTCTGTGCAGGAGCTTCCTGTAATAAAGACCGCTCACTGCTGCTCTCTCTCACTGTGCACGGTGGTTGGTCTTGTTTTTTGTTGTTGCCGGTAGCCTGTAATGGATGGCGCCTATTGGGCCCTTCTCACAGCTCTGCTCTCTACACAGGTTACGTGCACTGCTACTTTTACACAATTATAACTGGGCTTGCAAAGTCATTTGATGGTCACAAAGTGGATTTATATCCTTTGTGGCTATTGCAAAATTTTTTAAATGAAATGTGCTCATAATGCAGCTTTAGGCACTACTTACACTTGCACACTGTGGTCAAATCTTCAGAAAGTGATCATTTTATTGATGCACACATATCTTGTCACATTGCAATGTTTTGGGGCCACTCGGAGTCCCTTCCTCAGGCTGTCATGGACACACCACCTAAGGGTGTGTCATTACTCAGTGTGGGCTCACCGTGGAATGCTGCATAGAATAGTGATCACAATACTAAATCAAAAGAGCACAGTATGAGAAAACCAAAACCTGGCAGGGGTGGCAAACTCAGGCCCTCCAGCTGTGGTGAAACTACAAATCCCATGATGCATCTGCCTCTGCGAGTCGTGCCCGTGGCTGTGAGAATCTTGCAAAGCCTCAAGGGACTTGTAGTTCCACAACAGCTGGAGGGCCGGAGTTTGCCACCCCTGCGGGCTCAACCCATCAGAGAAGCCTACTGGAGAGAGCATAACGGGACTGCATTGCTGCTTAAAGGGTTATTAAACCCTCAGCGGTTTTTGCATATATCTCCTGCTAGCAAGCAGCAGATATATGCAGAAACAGGAAAAAAAAAAAAAAAACTTTTTAAAAAGGCTTTAAAAACTTACCTTGTGTCTTCGCCGCACGCTCCCGTCCGATCATCTGAAGAGTCTCGGGCCGCAAAGGATCTTGGGGCGGGCGCATGCACACTTCAGATGTTCGGCCGGGAAATGAGGAGAGACACAAGGTAAGTCTATGGAGCAGCGTGCACTCGCACAGACATCGTGGGACATGAGAGAAGAGGAGGACAGAGGAGTCAGCGCTGGATCGGAGACCCGCACCAGCGCTGGAGGGACAGCTGAAAAGGACAGTAAAGAAGAAGATGATCGAATCAAGAGGCATCATTTAAGGTAAGTCCCTACACCAGGATTGGGAAGGGGAATTCTGACTTTAATGTCACTTTAAGGGCTTGTGCATCATGGAAAGAACAACCATCTTACAATGCTATCAAGACATTTTACAAAAGAATGGATGGATACCTCACTTGAACTAGAGTAATGCAATACAAGAGCAAACTAGCAAAAAAAAAAAAAAGGCTTAAGACGAAAGCAAAACCAGATTCTGGGATGCCTAAATCTGGGTATACATGGACTGAATGTGGTCCGTTTTCTGCTGAATCGGGTAACATTCGATGTATGGGTGGCCCTGCCAGCACCAGCTGGCTCAATGAAAGTCTATTTTTTAGTTGCCATCTGTTGAAGAAGCCAGGTGGAAAATTGCAGGGCAGAACAGTGACTGCAGCCAATCATCTGTCTGGTGGGGAAGAAGGGTGCAGGAGATTTCTCTATCCGCGGACTTTAGTGTGGATGGGGGAATCTAGTGATTTTTCTCATTCAGCCCGCAGTGTACTGTATGGCCAGCTTTAGGTCAGCTTTTTCATGAGGTCTTGAGTTTCAGGTTTGAGTACCGAGAAAAGACTGAGATACTGGGGTTACAACCAAAATCTAAATCTCCACACAAACATTTTTATGAATAAGATGGCCTAAAATTATTTCTAACCATGATAAAAGTCTGATCAATAGCCATAGGAAAACTTTGATGAAAGCTATACTCTTAAAAATGGTTCTACTGTGTATGAAATACAGGGGTCCACATGCTTTGTGCAGCCTGCACTGTCAATATTTAAACAGTGCGTTTAATACAGACATGAACGAGCACAGTTGTTTGCATTTAATTACTTGAAGCAAATTGTGCTGTTCTAATATTGTGACTGAAGATCAGATCACATTTTGACAGCCATTAGGGCAGAAAACCAAGGAATTCCAGAGAGCTCAGATACTGGTTTCTTGCAACTCTACCAATATATTAGTTCCTATTGAGCCAACGTTTTCCTTCCAGAGTATAATGTATTATGTTTTCCTCCATGCCTGCAGGCTTAGTGCTTACACTTTTTACCTGCAGCTCATTGCTCTCTTTTCTTTATAACCGAGTCGGATCCCAAGTCAAAAGGCGAGGTCCGGATAAAAAGAAATGACACTATTATTTGTGAATCTCATCCTTTTGGTGATCATAAACAAACTGGCCTGCAAATAAAAGCGGCACTACAAAGAAAGTGTTTTTAAGTAGAGAAGAGCCAACTCTGTCAGTCAGTGTCAAACATCTGAAAGTATACAAATAAAAGGGTGCCAAACCCAAAGGTGAAAGTCCAAAAGATTTCTTTAATTATCCATAATTTGATCAAATACAGCCAACGTGTTATATATTTAGCAGAACTCTGCTGCCGTTATATATACAATTGTAAATCCAGTTCTAAGGAAGAGTTTATACCAAATCATACATGGATTGATTTGGTTATAGCATGGCTGGAGAAATCCCAGGAGCCAGAGCAGCAATGTTCCTTAATAATAATAGCTGGGGCCCAACTTTTGAGGCTTTCTCCTGTTGTTGTCAATGGAACTGGCTCTTAAAAAAAAAATCTTTCTGGCTTCTGGATTGGACAGAACAGCTCCTGAATTCCATATTATTTTGTTTACCCCTGGGTTACAGTATAGTACCTTGTGAGTTCATTTCAGCCCTTATCCCATTCTAAGCCCTGAAGAAGGGGAAATAGGGTTACCCCCAAAACACATTGTTTTTTTTCTTCATCAAATTGTTAACAATTAAAAGGTATCTTTGCACTCTTTCACCTTCTGATTTTCTGCCCTTTGTTTCTATATTTCAGTCCCTTCCAGGTCCCCATCAAGAGGGGCCTGTTTGTTTAAGTGCTGCCTTACCAGAGCCGGTGAGCTTACTTGTAAACTTCCTTGAATGTGAATAGTCTGAACGTGCACTGAAATCCCAGCACCTCTTAAGTGTGTTTCTCTGGAGTGTCAAACATCTGACATGTCCTGGAGCTATCATGGTGGAACTAATAAAAACAAAAGACATGCAAATGCATATATTTATAGCACCATAAGATGAAGATGTTAAAGGAGAACTATGAGGCGAGTGCTTTTCACTCACCTCATAGTTCTAGCCGACCTGTGACAATGAGACTGTCACAGGTCGGCTCAGTAGATCGGGAAGTGAGCGAACACATACTGGCGTTCGCTCACCTCTCGATCCTGTCACGGCTCTCTGCTGTGACAGGGGAGGGGCTGGATTCCCCCCTCCCCGCTCCGATCCTCCAGCGCTGACTGGCGGATCGGACGGGGGAGGGGCGGGTACAGCTGGCTCTGCCTCTAGATAGGCAGAGCCAGCTGTCACTCACGCAGCTGGACGGATCCCGGCCCAGCAGCTCGCGGTATACTGAGCTTAGGGTGACGGGAGGGCGCTAGTTTGTGTCCTCCCGTTACCCTAAGGAGAACCATGGGGAAAAGACTTAACCCCATAGTTCTCCTTTAAGCCAACTTCTACCTTCAAGTGACAGGAACCTCAGGAGTTAAATCTCAAAAATGCATTGAAGTAGCTTCACTATTAATAAATTAATTTGTGTATCACTCGGCTGTAGATCCCTAAAATCATCTCTGAATTGGTGCTGACACTGTCCTTCCAAATGGAGGGTGGATACTTTTGTTCCCCATGGTCCCTGTGTGTGTTGTAAAGAAGGCACCGCTCCGAGTGAGTGATGGACCATAATCTGCATACAAACGAGTAATCTAAATGTAAGATTGTATACACAAATAGGCTATATTTTTGTAAACAGTTAAGCTACTTGAATGCATTTTTGAGATCGAACGTCTGAATTTAGTGGCTTTTGCACTGTAGATGACTTTTCAGAAATATATTCTTTTCATTCATACATTATACAATGTTTCCTTTCCCACAAAGCTTTTATTAAGTAGCTCCCCAAGACACAGCCTTGTGATTTGTCTATGTCTTGCACTTTTATCTCGCATACTATAGTACAAAGAAAACACAAAGCATGGGAAAATGTCAGGACATATGTCCAGTAGTTCAAATAACTGCTGCAGTTGTGTCTTCACCTTGAAGCAATGACATTCGGCTTCCGGGATAATGTATGAGTTTGTGCTTACCTAAAACCAGATGGTGTCTTCAAACTATGGGGTAGAAGATTTACATTGCAAGTTCACCCTTCCTAAAGGAATTAGATCCCGGTAGGAAATGATTTACTATGACCCAGAAGGACACTGCTATGAAATTCCAGGTAACTGTTAGAGCAAGTAAAGATTCTGCCTTTTAAAATACTTTTTTGGACACATTATGCCCCAACATACCAATAGTTTCCCCAGATAGTACCACTTTGCTGACCTTCCCAATGCATCCTCATACAATGTGTAAAGATACATGACAAGACGCTTGTAGGGAATATATCTGCTGTACTTCCCCTGTCCTGGTGCTTTCATAGGTTTAAGAATCCATTCACATCTTGATGTCTGACAGGGGTGCAACACCTTATTTACTATCGGAGAACACAGGGACAGTTCAAGCAGGATAGTTGTTTAGTTCTGCTGTTCAGATCACAGTGTTGGGTTGCAGTACAGTTAAATGTTAAAGGAGATTTGATTGTACTACATTGACATGAATGTGACATGCAGATCTTTGAAAAGCATCTTCCTCTATCTTATAGTCCTGTTCAAAACTAAGCCAAAAAAGTGCATAAATGTGGCTAAAAATGTATATCAATATGCATAAAACTGCACAATAATGCACACAAGTGAACATCTTAATCTGCATGTGGTAAAGCATTAAGGTAAAAAACGCCCCGCTACCTTTCCCCACCCAAAACACTTACCTAGGGTCCACATTACCACCGCCAGCTCCTAGACGATCTGCTCTGTTTCCCCGAAGTTCTGGGTTGAGGGGAGGGATCCTGAGGCCACTGATCACAGGGCAGCAATAGGCTGCTGCACTTGCCTGTCCATTTACTGTGAGGAGGCGGGAACAGGGGCGTGGCTTGTCAAACACTGTGTGTGTCAGTGGCTCAGGTGTGAATGAGGGCTAAACACAAAAATGTGAATAAGCCCTTAAAGCAGAACTCCAGGCGGAAACTATTATTAACCCTTGCAGTGGGGCTACTCCGCACTGCAATGCTAACTGCTTATTTTGGTCTAGGAAGGAACATTTTAAAAGTTATACTCGCCAGATCCTTGAAGCCGGCCAGTTGTGACAGTTCCCCATCCAGCCTGTCTTTTTCTACCCTGCAGCACTGGAATGTCCCTCAGTGTCCTCACGTCCTATACATGGTGAATAGAACTTGATGACTCACAGACCTTAGACCGCTGCAGCACAGTGGGTGGACTGTTCCAAGAGCAAGCCGGCTCAGAGGATCAGGTGAGTATAACTTTTTATTCCCCCCCTAGACAAAAACAAGCACTTAACCTGTGCAGTGCAGGGGTAGCCCCACTGCAAGGGTTAATAATTTCCCCCAGAGTTATAATGAAATATCAATTAAAGTACACATTTATTTATCCAGTGTCTCGAGAGAAAACACAAATCAGCCACATTCTTTGCTTCTAGTCCTGTTTATGGCTCCCACGCTGTATGTTTATACCCACAAAACAGCTTCTTTCCTTAATCAAAGTGAATGTTCTTCCATCAGATAAGTAGAAGGGCCTATGGACAAACAGAGCTGCTATTCATGAGTCCCAACATAACATTATTCTACAGCTACAAACACTTATCTGACACCTAGCACAAATACTGCTTTCTTCAGACCTTTGTATTAGCTACCACTGAAGACAAATGTTTTCTCTATTAACGTAGAAAACTTGAAGAATGCACAAGTAGAATGTAAGCTATGAAAGGATATAAAATAAAATACAATTTGAATTTACTTTTAAATTTTATCATGATATGCCATACATCTTATAGTTCTCACTTATTTAATGTACTTTATGATTTGAATAAGTACGAATACCGTGACCATTCCCCCGTCTAATTGTCTTCCTTCCCTTTTTTTTTTTCCAATCATTAATATTTTTCTTATATTATTGAACATGACTGTTCTTATGTCATACATGCCTTTTTCAATAATTGTTCAATAACCTTTGAATATCTTTATGTGATTTAGGTTCTGTTTATTTGTTTAAATTAATAAAACAAAAAATAAAATGCCCTCACTAAGGAACTCAACTATGTAAACATAAAATCCTAGCACAATGGCAATGTTATACAAAATGCATAGCTTAGTTTCCATATACAGTAATACCTTGGTTTAAGAGCATAATTCGTTCCGGAAGCATGCTTGTAATCCAAAGCGCTTGTATATCAAAGCGAATTTCCCCATAGGAAATAATGGAAATTCAGATGATTCGTTCCACAACCCAAAAATATTCATATAAAATGATTACAATACTGTACTGCAATATAATACTGTATAAAATATAAAGAAAAATAAACCGATTACCAGTACCTTCGTGGCTGGTGTGAGGGGGACAAAAGAGAGGAGGATTATTGTGCAGGACGACTTTCACCATCACTAACGGAATCACTGCTATCTCTTGGCTCAATGGAATATTTTTCATTTTGCGAAACCTTAACAAGGAATCTATCCAATGTGACATTGCATTGTCGTTAAACAGATTCATCGCTCGCACTGCTACAGCCTTATTCGGGTGGCGCTTTTCTACAAAATTTTGCTCTTATTGCAAGACATTTGCTTGTATATCAAGGCAACATTTTTCAGAAATGTTTGCTTGTCTTGCAAAACGCTCTCAAACCAAGTTACTTGTAAACCAAGGTATTACTGTATTGGGAGGTCGCCAAATCACAGGATGCTGCTCTGGAAGAGTTCACAAAAGTCCAGGGTCAGCTGTTCCAGGGTTGTAAAAATCTGTCAACCTTTGCAGATGGTCACAATATACATAAAGTATATGTAAACCCTAACAATGAACTTCTTTTATTTACTCTTTTGGTATGTTAGTTATACAATTAAAAAAGCTTTTGCTTGATTTTAGTGCACAAAAACCTGTTTGTTCTGCCTTAAATCTAAAGCTATGTCCTGATCTCAAACAATGTTATTAGGAAGTGATCTACAAAACACATTCTCTGTGTTAAGGTGCCCATACACTGCTTGATTCTCGTACGAGAATCGCGGGAAATCCCGCGATCGTACGAGAATTGAGCAGTGTTAACGAAGACGTGCGACCGTTTCTACTGTACGGTCGCACGTCTTTTGTCTAAGGAGCACGCTAGAAAACCAGCCGAAAATCGTACGATTTTCGGCTGGTTAGAACGGTGCTTGGGAGACAAATGCCGAACGGACCGGTGTGCACACGCGCACACTGCCCGTTCAGCATTGCGGTCATCGGAAGCCCGCCCCTCAGGGGGGCGGGCTTGCGATGATCGAGAGTACGATCTGCCTGTCCAAGATGGGCAGATCGTACGTTTTTTTAATCACTTTACAACCATCGCAAGACTAAGGTCTTGCGATGGTTGTACAGTGTATGGCCACCTTTAGGGAGATGAGGAATGGGGAGGTGTCCTGTACGTCCTGTCCTAGGGTAACAATGTTGATCCTCCATAGATACTCACTGTGCTGTAAGTGTCACCCTACGACAAAGTGTTTTACTAGCAGGTTTGCCAGGTAAAAACAAATGGAGCAAAATCTGAAAGAAGAAAGCAAATGCAGCCAGCACATCTGGAGCAGCGTCCAACGGATAGGAGAAAGAAGGGATGCACCGCTATTTTGGCCTGAAAGATGGCACTTTCAGCATTTTGCCAAAAGTGCCACCATTTTGGGCCTATAGGTTTCAGCGGCCGAAATTTCTGTGCATCCCTAGAAAAAACTCTTGATGCCCTCCCCCCCACCGGGCTATTTTATTCTGACAGCGGAGGTCTAAATACCTAAACCATAACTGCAGCTAATTGGCTGTAGTCACTGTTCCGCCCAGCTCCTTCAATTTGAAGACTGAAGTATGGCGGACAGAAGACTGCTGACACGGTTAACCACTGAGTGAAGTTTGGCAAGAGCTGTCCAAAATTTCACTCTGGGTATGGCTAGTTTCCCTTTTAGCAGCATTTAGCATTGTAAACAATTGTATTTACTGTATAGTGTAAGTATACATAGGAACATAGAACAGCAAACAACAGAATAGGTTAACCCCACATCAAAAATTGCAGAACATGTAGTCATTTTAAAAATGTGATATTATCCGTTGGGGACAAAGTGCATATAGCACTTAGTCCTGTTCAAATCTGTCCCGTCGTTGCCAAGCAGTTTGCTCAGACAGTTAGCCATGCAGTGTTGAGTGAGCTTTTATGAATGAACAATCAGCACCAGTACAGCGTATAAACACCCCCTGATAGCACTGAGCATTCATTCAAAAATCACTCAACGCTGCAGGACTGTGTGATCTATCTTCCGGGGCTGCTTGTCAAACACACAGATAGATCACAGCACGCAACTACAAAAACAAGTCAGCAATGGCAATTTTTTATTGTGCTCCCAGTAGGTTTCCTTTTGGTGCTGCCAGGTGTATTTTGTGACAAGCATGAGAAGTCTAAAAATGTCTTCTACAAGTATATCAACAATTCTATAACCTAAAGTAGACCTAGAATATAGCATCCCCTCAGCCTAGGTTCAGATATCAGCGATCGTGCACGATTGCACACAGCGATTGCCACGTGGCCCCATTGATTTCAATGGGGTTATACCCATGCGGCATTTCTGAAAAATTGTAAAAGTACCTCTTTTTGTGACACACAACACGCAGTTTTTTGAACCGCGATCATTCGCGATTGCACAGGCAGTATCGTGGCGGGAAACTGCTCCATCTGCCTGGCGTGACTGGGGTGCCATTAGAAAATAATGCCACTACCAGCGCGATAGTCGGTGGTGTGTGATTCTGCCTGGTATTGTGCACAATTGCCGGACGCCCTAGTGTGAACCTAGCCTTAGTCTGCCTGCACTGCTGCCATGGAATCAAGTATGCTAAAGATGGCTACACACATCTGGCAGGCTTTGTACAAACTTGTTCTAAATCTAAAGGCAAGTGTACAATCAGATTGTAAGCCAGGTTAAAAGAACCCTAACTCTTTCTCTTGTGCATCAGCCTTAATGAAGTCATTTTATCATCTCATGAAACAAAATGAGCATAAGTCATTATAGTAAATCAAACATAAAGAAGTGTGTGTCCTGGTAAAATACCCGGCATTTCGCTACAGACGCTGATGTTCATTGCCAATGCCAGAGAGTAACTAAAAACACAAGCTGTGTGGATTTTCCAGCTACAAAACAGAGGCCATAGTGTGTCCAGGGCTATCACAGTTTGCTGTCAAGCTATGACACATTTCATCATTGAGTAAAGGTCTTGTTTCTGCACACAGCAATACCCAGCCTAATCCCTGTAATGTTGCTGTAGGAACAGCATTTAGTCTTTTAGCAGCAACATAATAATCGGAGTATTATGTTGCGCCACTAATCACCCCCACCCCCCCTGGTTGGGCCAGCACACAGAGCAAGGAAGTAGAAGCAGCCGTTCACCAATTACTTTTCTTAACTTTTTTTTATAAGTTAACTTTCTTTTAAATACACATTTCATCAGTGTCAGTGTGCGCAGTTTATTGAGTGGGAGGGGAGCAGGAGGTCCACTTTAAGACTCTGAGCTATGTACCAACCCAAACCAAAGGGGTGTATTAAGAGTAACAATTGTAATTTCTGGCTCGCTGCCGCTATGATGGCTGTCATAAGTAGAAGCTACAGTGTCACCTATGCACCCCTCGTCTCCCCTTGTCCATTCACAGAACACCTTATATTCTATGAACCTTTCACAAAATACATGGTGTTCTGTGGATGGACAAGGGGAGAGGAGGGTGCATAGGTGACAGTACAGCATGTATATATAAAAGCTGCAACGGGCCAGAATTACAGCAAGAGCTATACTATAAGACATGAATGAAACGATTCTGGAAGTGGCATGCACCTCATAAGAGTTGCCTATTCATTACACAGCACATTTCTACACAAACCTTTTCCTGTAGTTCTGCTTTAAAAACATATTACCTTTAAAGCAAAAAAGAAATCTAAAAAAAAAAAGAAGGGAGGTATGATACTTTTTTTAGGAAGGGTCCATTTTATTTCCCATAACATTTGGGCAGCACAGTTAAAAAAAAAAAAGAAAGTGTTGTCATAAACACTGAAAACAATAGCATAACAATTACACTGCTTCCTTGCCCTCGGTGAACAACAAACCCCCAGCATGTATATAATTATGGAACTAACACATTTTACATGATATCACTTTAACCCTGGCTGTAGCTTTAGTACTTTCACTGGCTCAGTAAACAAGTTTCGACTGAAGTCTAAAGTCGCACCTAAGCAGATGCGACCACAAGCGTGCATTGATGGGCATTTTTTAAGCATCAACATGTGCTGCGTTACAACAGGTTATTCATTTCAATGGGCTGCCCTGTGCACCTTGATAGCGCTAAAGTAGTGTGCACAGCTTTTTTCAAAGCACCTTGCACCAAAACACATAGGGGAATTTATTAAAACTGAAGCAGACAGAATCTGCAACAGCTACCATTAGCAACCAAGCAGCTTCTATGTTCAGTTAAGCTTTGAAAATGAACGCTAGAAGGTAATTGGTTGCCATGGGTAACTGCTCCAATTTTGATAAGTTCTCCTCTAGGTACTTTGTTACCATGTGTCTGGTGTGATTTCATGCATGTATGATGTCAAGGTGCATTGGGGCGCCAAGAAAGAATGTGACATGCATTTAACCAGTGCACCGATGTGAACAGGGGCTTATTCAGACTTTCCTGATCTGCATGCTTGTTCCAGGTCAGTAAATCAGTAAGTATATCAGCCGCAGACAACTGGCAAAAGGACACCAGCAATGGCAGCCTCTCAATTTCCCTCAGTTCAGATTTCCTATAAGGCAGACTAGATACTCCCCATAGATCTGCACTATATTACAAAGCCAATAAAAGAGCAATACTTACTTTGCTACAGTACAGCATCCATAGCTCATAGAGTCTTTCCCGAGATGCCATCCTGTGACCTCTGCTCCTTGCGTTCTCAGTCAAACCTATTTCAGAACCAGTTCCTCCACATTGTCTAGAGTTTCATCCTCAGTCTGTCACATTTACGTTGCCGGTGATGTACTCCCACCAAACAAACAAATAGACAAGTTGCGCTCAGATCAAATCAGTAGAAAACCAGCTCAACAGGACTTGAACATGCTTAGCAAGCCCAGCTTTCTGCTGCAATCCACATAGGGGTGGGCACGAATAGATCACTGAAATGCAGGTACTCCAGAGGTTTTCAAGCCAAAATTAAATTTATTTTCCTTGCTTCACATTCCAAAAGGTCTTCATAAGGCTGAGTGTTAAGTGATGTCACATACATTATCCGCTGATAAACATATTGGCACACGCATCAGGAAGTCCTGTTAGACACCTGGGTGATGAGTCACCTAAGAGTAAAGAAAACAATTCCATTAATATAAAGAAACAACCAAAGGAAGAAAAAGATGCAAGAACAAACAACTTTTACTGCTCTAATTAACACAAAGAATATGTAAACATAAGCAGCGTCTGACGACATATGTTCTTAACACACTCAAGTGCGAGAAGAGAAAAACAACTGTCAACTACCATCAGTATTTCAATAGCCAGTAGTTCCCGGTTTTGATTGTTAGCTGCAACAAAGTTAAAAGTTTATGTCTGGCTAAAAATGTTTTTGTTTTGTTTGTAGAGAGTAAAGCTGGCCATACAATGTTATATTTCAACCTGCGAGCTAAACAAAAAAAACAAAAAAAAGATTCCTCCATCCACACTGAACAGCATGGATGGATGGATGTCCCGCTGGGCTGCTGTATTCTGACAGTGGCGATTGTGCCACTGTCAGAAAACTCGAATTGTGACAGCAGCTGCCGCCGCCGCTGTTTACTCAGAAATTTTCTGACAGAATCCTTCCATTTTCTGATCAAAGGATGCCAAACAGATATGTGCAGATTCCGCAGGTTTGCGATTGTTACTGTAACCAGAAAGTGCGGAATCCACCCATAAATCATGCTTGGACTACTTTTCGGGACGCGTGGTTTCACACTGCGCAGCTGCCGCAATAGTCTGAATAATGCACATTGCAATGCATTGGTTTTTATGTTTAGCTCGTTTCCGCGTGTATTCGTTTGCGCAAATACACACAGAAAACTGCTCATGTGTGAATAGAGTCTAAGGCCTCGTTTACATGTGTGGCACCTGCCTAGCAAAAATCTAACATGGCGGCTGCTTGCGTCATAGCCATGATGCTTTGTGGCTGTAGCAAATTTTACACAGCATGTGGCGTTTGAAGTCAATGGGTCAGGTTGTGGTGCGGTATTGCAATTCCCAAAAAACGGGGCATTCAGGAGGTGGCCATTACAAACCGCCGAACAGCCGAGCTCTGAAAAGCAATCCACCACAGATCACTTTTCAGAGGTCAGTAAAAGTCCACCGCACATGTAAACAAGGCCCTGTTTCACACTTGGCGCATACTTGTGGCATGTGTGACCATGCATTGCGTTTGTGCATGTCTGTCCACGTTTGCCACGCATCAGCCCATTTCTTTCAGTGGGCTGCTGCATGCACAACAGCATTTTCACCTGCGAGCTTCACATGTCTTTTGACCACGCCTTTATGCATGTTTGTCACGTGGTAAAAAAACGCAGTTTACCGGCCGCGCTTGGGGTGCTATTAACAAGTGATGGTACCACAAGCGCGTCACACGTTTTTAACGCCTTTTGTGAAAATGTGCTGATGCGCACACTTTGGCGTGCATTCACGCTACGCACAAGCGTGAAGGGGGACTTTAGAGTGTTTTCACCTCACATACAGTGATGCTAAGTTCACACGGGCAGCAAGAACCAGCGGATCACCCACACATTTTAGGTTCCACAACCACTTAGCAGAGCTCAGTAGTCATTTTTAAGTGGGCAGCTAACAATGTAGTACACATGTAAAAATCCAGCCGCGTTTGCATCACTTTACAGAGCCAGCCAAACGCCTGCATGTGGCGTTCGGCTGGCTCTGCTGATTCCCAGCTACCTCCATTTATGTCAATGGGAGCGTGCCTTAAAACGCCTATAGCATTTGAGATGCGGCTAGGAAGTGTTTACAGAACGCTGGAATCCAGAACACAGGTTTTAAAAGGTCAGCTGGGTCTTATAGGCAACAAAATACAGCAAAAACATAAGAAGATTCCCCAAACTCTGCCAGATCAGATCCCACAAACTAACCACACCTCAAAATCAGATTACTTCCGCTACATCACTTCCATTTTAAAACTGTTTGTAAAAAAAACTAAATCGAGGGAGCACTTGGTGAATGTATGTGGTGCGTCTTGAGCACGTCAGATAAGCACATTAATGCCATAGGTGTGTTATTCAGCGTTCATCATATACTTGTGTGATTGCAGTGACAGTTTCAGCAGACAGGAAGAGAGGGGAAATCTGTAACAGAGACTCAGGCAGCAATGAACACCTGACAGGAATTCTGCTCTTCCTCTACTGGAAAATATTTTTATTTCTGTCTGCTTTGCTGTTGCAGATTTTCCCTCAGTTCCTGTCTGATGAAACCATTCTCATCGTGACAGTAGATGAGGGGACATCTCTCTGAGTTGCAATTCACACCCGGGCAACAGCGTTTCAGCGCTTTTACAGGCGTTTTCTGTTCATATGTAAAAGGTGCCCATACACTGCGCGATTCTAGTACGAGAATCGTGGGAAATCCCACGATCGTACGAGAATCGTGCAGCGTATGGAAGGCATGCGACTGTTTCTACTGTACGGTCGCACAGCTTTTGGATTACGAGCATGTTGGAAAACCAGCCGAGAATCGTACGATTTTCGGCTAGTTTTTAGCATGATCGTAAGATCAATGACACACAGGCCGCACACTGCCCGTTCGGCATTGCAGTCATCGGAGGCCCGCCCCTCAAGATGGGCAGATCGTACGAGCTTTTAATTAGATTACAACCATCGCAAGACTAAGGTCTTGTGATGGTTGTAGAGTGTATGGGCACCTTAAGAGTGTTTTAAAGGAGAACTATGGGGTTAGGGCTTTTCCCCATAGTTCTCCTTAGGGTAACGTGAGGACACAAACTAGCGTCCTCCCGTCACCCTAAGCTCAGTATACCGCGAGCTGCAGCTCACGGTATACTGAGACGCCACAGTATACCAGCCCCTCCCCCTGTGACGGCAGAGAGCCGTGACAGGATCGAGAGGTGAGCGAGAGGTATGTGTTCGCTCATCTCCTGATCTACTGATCCGACCTGTGACAGTCTCAGTGTCACAGGTCGGCTAGAACTATGAGGTGAGTGAAAGCACTCACCTCCTAGTTCTTCTTTAAGGCTCGTTTTCAGTTGTCCAATGAAAAGCAGTCTCAGCTGCAAAAACGGGCTGATCTGCGCATTTCCATTCAAGTATGTGGAAAAAATGAGCTGATAGGCGCCACAAAAGAAGTTAATGGACTATTTTAAACAACAGGCGTGTTGTTACGCGCGATTCACCACGTTTGTGTGAATGGCCCCCATAGGAATACATGGGATTTTGATTTGCATGCGTTTCAGCGTGGAAAAAAAACACACAACGAAAAGCCCTGTTGTGAACAGGGCCTGATGGCGTCCCGAGTAGCAGTAACAACCCAACATAGGTAACTCTTCACACAGGTTTGGTTTGATAGACAGTACACTTGAATTAACCCTTATTTTCAGAAATACATATATACAAGTGTATAAAATCTCTAGAAGTAACACTCCTCACCGGTAAGGTAATCTGATCTTCCTTGCAGGCCCAACATACTGTATAAGGCATAAATACCTGGTAGTAAAAGTAAAACAAAAAACAGAGCGCACTGGACAATGCACATAAAACTCCCTATAACACATAGCCCACTTCTTGCACTAAATGTATAAATGCACCCATACAAATTACAAAATATGTAATTATTTTATGTATTGGACGTTCGAGTACACTGCAACTGTGAACAGTGAATCAGGATCCTCCAGACGGTTCCTTCAGTCCCGGGTCCGTACACAGGTACAGACCTTTAGTTATGGAGCAGAAGGAAGTCACCAATAACAAGTTTGATGGCGTCACTGCACTTCTAAGACTCTGCCGTGGTAGTAGATGGAACCACTCACACAGCTGCATTAGAATAGAAAAATCCACAGAAGCCTGCAGAGAGAACCACCCAGCAGTTCAGATAAGTCAGACATGGGCATTTTACAGCCTGCGGGCCATATCTGGTCCTTTGTCTGTCCCGATCTGGCCTGCGACCCGGACACAGATCGATTGCCAACCTGTGCTCAGTTATGGCTTGTTCCACTGCAAGCCCTAGCCCAGCGTAGGTCGGTGATCGATCTGTGTCAGGACCAAGGTCCTCTTCAATCTTTGGTTGCTAGGACCGCTGGTGTCCTAGCAACCGATGACATCAGCTCTTCCTCCTCATGGCTGGCATCCTGCGCTGGAGGAGTTTGTGCAGGAAGCTTTGGCGAGAGTCTGGGAGCATATTGCAAAGTAAGTGGCACGTATCTGCCGGTTCCAGTCTCAGTACTCCAGTGTACCAGTTTGACTTGGTCACGGATCGGACCAAACAAGCAATTGTGCAAACTCAATCAGGGTAATTACAATCAGTCGGATCTCCAGGTAGGAACACAAACCCTTTCTTCATCAGTACTCCAGTGTCTTTAGTCACACTTATAAGTACATTGGGGATAATTCACTACAACTGGAGCAAACAGAACCTCAAGCAGCTGTGCATAGTAACAAATCAGCTTCTAATTTCCGTGCGTTCAGTAAAGATTTGCAAATGAAAGCTAGAATCTGACTGGCTGCTCCAGTCGTAGTAATTTCCCCTCATTGTGTGTGATGGCAAGGCAGGATACCCAGTTTCTCATGTCGCCCCTTAAAAAAAATGAATTGCCGAACCCTGAGATAAGTGGTTGTGGTGGGAAAGTGATGAGGGGGCACAAAGAAGCTGTAAAGTAGAACTCCAGGAATTTTTTTTATTTA